TAATGGAATTTTTGAAGCTTGTAGTTCGGGCGATTTAGATGGTTATATGGAAGAAAAAGATAATATTGATGATTCTATCGATGAATTAAAAATAATGATTAACCGTCAACTGTCCGAAATCAAGGGCGAATCTTTGAATTTAACTACACCTGTAATAAGCGATAGCATTAATGATATAAAATTACCAACACTTTCGATTCCAACCTTTAATGGTAAAATCGAAAATTGGATAATGTTCAAAGATATATTTAAGGCTAGTGTAATTGAAAACAAATCCATTTCTAACGCTATGAAATTGCAATATCTTAAAGGTAGTTGTAAAGATGAAGCAATAAGGGTAATAAATTCAATTTCCATTTCGGACGCAAATTTCGATATCGCGTGGAAATTATTAGAAGAAAGATATTCGAATAAACGTGAGCTATTAAATGCTATTATTAAAAAACTTGTGAATCAACCGAATATCACTGAAACAGCTAGTTCGATTTTGAATTCAATAGACATAACAAACGAGTGCGTTAGATCGCTAGATGTGTTAGAAAATAAAGTGGAAAATTTATCAGAAACAATGATAGTTTTCATAATTGTTGAAAAATTTGATAAATCGCTTCGTTACTGGTGGGAAAAAGAATTAAAGAATTCCGACGAGTTTGGTACACTAAGTCAATTACTTTCCTTTCTACAAGGTCAAGCTAGAACGCTTCAAAATAGTAAAATGAAAGAAGGGAAATTAAACCGTAATTCGCAAAATAAAATTATGAGTATGGTATCAACAAACGAGAAAAATAATTTAAGATGCATTAAATGTAATCGAGAGGAATTACACGGATTATATAAATGTCCCGAATTTATTTCTCTTTCCGTGCATGAAAGATACGAATTTGTAAGAAAGAACAATCTTTGTTTTAATTGCTTAAAAATTGCTCATCTATTTATCGCTGTCAAAAATGCCATAAAAAACATTCCGTAATGCTTCATTTTGAAAATTNAAATTCACTTATGAAAAGATTTCAAAGAGATTCTGATCTCCACTTAGAATATTCGAACACTTTGCTTGAATATAAAAATCAGAACATTATTGAAAAAGTTACTGAAGCAACTAAACCTAACGATAGAGCTGTCTATTATTTACCACATCAACCGGTTATCAGAGAGGAAAGTCAGACTACAAAATTGCGCATAGTTTTTGATGCGAGTTCGAGTAAGGATTTCAAAAGTTTAAGCCTGAATGACTGCCTGTGGGTTGGAGAAAATCTTAATTCCAAGATTTTCGATATATTAATAAGCTTCAGGTTGAACAAAATCGCCTTTATTGCCGATATTGAGAAAGCTTTCCTACAGGTATCACTTTCTGAAAAAGATAGAGACGCTGTAAGATTCCTGTGGAAGGAAGATGGTATTCTTCAAACTTATAGATTCAGCCGAGTGCTTTTCGGTGTAACAAGCAGCCCGTTTCTTCTTTCTGCGACAATAAGGAAACACCTGAAGTTATTTCAAGACATGTATCCCCTTACTACAGACTGTTTGCGTCGATCCTTTTACGTAGACGATTTCATTTCGGGAGCGGACAGTTTGGAAGAAGCTATAACTGTATCAAAAGAATCTTTAAGTATCATGGAAAAGGCTAGTATGGTATTGCGAAAATGGAAGACAAACAGCGACATTTTGAGGCAACTGTGGAGAAATGAAGGTTTTCAAATTCAAAGTGATCCAAACAACTTAGAAACTCATCCAACTAAAGTTTTGGGGATGATGTGGAGCATTGAGGATGATAACTTCATTTTGGATATGCCGAGCATATCAGAGATACCCTTTCAAGAAAATACTAAGCGATCGCTTATGAGAATGATAGGGAAAATATACGATCCGCTGGGGTTGTTAGTTCCATATACCTTAAGAATAAAGTGTTTGATGCAAGAATTATGATTAAAAGGTATATCGTGGGACGACGAACTTCCACTTAACATCAAGGAGCAGTGGGTTCAGTGGTGTTCTGAGATTCCTGCTTTAAAAAATGCGAAGGTTCCTCGATATGTGCCGAACTCTTGCTCTGATGAGGAAAACTCAACATTAGAGATACATGGATTTTGCGACGCGAGTGCAAAAGCTTATGGCGCGTCAATTTATATTAGATTTTTAAAAGAAAATACCATAGAAGTAAAATTGCTTACATCTAAATGCCGTGTTGCGCCCTTAAGAAAACTGACTTTACCGAGATTGGAGCTTCTAGGTGCCTTATTGTTAGCCCGATTGGCTAACAAAGTAAAACAAATAATGGATCAAAAACGAATATCGGATGTTTTTTTGTACACCGATTCAAAAATAGCTTTATACTGGATTAAAGGATCCTGTAAAAAATGGAAATCTCTCGTAGCTAATAGAGTTACAGAGATACAAAAACTGACTGACACCAATTCTTGATCGCATTGTGCTGGCAAGAGTAATCCAGCAGACTTTGTGACTAGGGGTACTTCTGCTGAATTTCTTCTTGGCAACGATGTGTGGTGGAATGGCCCTCAGTTTTTGGAGACAAAACTGATCTTTCAACAGATGGT